TAAAGGTTTGTGACACACACAGAGGAGGTAATTTCGCAGAACCAGAAGGACAGGAGCAAGGCAACACAACCCAGTGCCCCATCACAGCCCAAATATGGCCTGCTGCATGCACAGGAAGCAAGGGGTGAGGCTGGGGATGAGTGGTTCAATGGCCATCGCAGTGGACATAGCGCTCTGTGTTTAGATGCCAAGGTTCAGTGACCCTTCCAAGCATTACGCCGACAAGGAGCTTTTCAAGTCTACATTTAGAAGACAGAGCTTTCTTGGTCTCCTGACTTTTTATCTGTGGATTATTATATATGACAATTGGGTGTGTGAAATCTATTAGCTAAATGGAGAAAAAAATGAACATAATTTCCTGGGTCAGAGGAGGGGAGTGTAACATGCTTAACACCTTCCATGTGGAAGAGGAAAATATTAATGTGTAAAATCAGAGCTGGAGGCCTATGAAGGGATCATAGAAAATTGCTGTAGCCAAATGCTGGCAGGAGTCTGGCATCTGGACATGAGCTCTGCCACCCCCAGGCCCTGGGTGCTGCAGGCAGCACTAGAGCACAGAGGGCTCCTCATCTTCACTCCAACCCCATCTAACTCACAGGAGGAACATTACACATGTCTGTGTTTCTCCCACAACACCTAAGAGGCTCAAACCTTAGGGAAAGGCACCTCAGAGACAGGCATGCTGCTCTCATCATATGCTCTGATGCTTGATAAATTCTTAAAGTTTAATGAGAACAGGTGTTTGACTTGCCAATGAAAGGGAGGGGCTGAGGAGATAGCTCAGTGGAGTAAGTGCTTGCCTGGCAAGTGCAAGGTCCTGAGTTCAAACCCTGGTACCATCAATAAAAATTTAAAAATAATAATAATTAATAAATAAATGGAGAGACAGACATGAGTGTTGTTCTCTGTGTAAAGAAGTTGGTATTAATCTTGACCTGCTCTGAGGAAATATGGGATTTTCTAAGTGGTGGACCACATTCTCTGATCCCCAAAGCGAGAGAGGTAAGAGAATTGTCCACACTTCTTCCCTAGACATCTTGGAGTTTCTGGAGAAATTGACCAAGAACTCCAACAAATAAAATAAGCAGGGAGAGAAATTCAGCCTAGGCTAAAGGACTCAAGTGAGAAACATCAACCTGCACTCTTTTTTCCTGCTATTGATTAAAATATATCAGCCATTCCCCTGTGGTCACCTTTGTGCTAAACCTCTTCTGTGTACTAACTTACTTCACCCTCAGTTACCTTACAAGGCAAATACTATCAAAATCCCCATTTTCTGTCTTCTAAAAAATGCCATTTGCCCAGATAGAGTAGCCTGGGCAAGCTCAAGCAGACACAAAAAACCAAGGGATCATTTGAGCTTTCACTTGCTTGAGTTCAGAGGTTGTGGAGAAGCCACAACAGCTCCCTAGGTCCTAAGGCTTCTGGAACAAACACCACAGCTGAGGCCACAGCTGAGCTCTGCAGTCCTCCAGAGTTCCTGGCAGATTATGCAGGCCAGCTAAGCAAAGCGCACAACCCAGTGGAAGGAGGTGAACCTCTTTAAGAAATGGGTAACATCACCCCAGAGACCCTAGCTTTACACCAGTTGTTATTAATTACTATGAAAACTAGGATTATCACACCACATTCTGATAATCCTAGTTCATGCCACTAAAACTGTGAGTATTGGACTGGGGAGATAGCTCAGTAGAATAAGCACTTTCCCAGCAAGCACCAGGTCCTGAGTTCAATTCCCAGTACCACCAAAAAAAAAAAAAGCTGTGAGTATGACAGTCATGGTATCTAGAGAACTGTGGAAGGGAAAAGATAAATTCGTGTAGCTAGAGGGAAATGCATTCTTTTGAGAGTTTGGTTTTCTAAGATCCAGCACAGGATATCTGATATGCTGGCCACTGTAATCACACTGATAGTCTTACTCAATTCCCTCATTGTAGAAAATCAATATGAAATTAGAGTGCTCCAAATGAATTTCCAGGAAATCTGATGTGGGAGTTCGGGAAATGTATTGTTTGTTCTTTTTTCCATTTTTATATTCAGTTTAGGGAAGAACATGGTCTATCAGATCTACTCCCTCTTGGCTTGAAATGCCTAAATGGTAGGGCTCACTGTTGTATGTATGCCTAAAGTACATAATGATTAACACAAATTATTGAGATTCTTGCAGTTAAGAGGGTGGTCATTTTGCTGGAATAGATTGTAAATGAATTACATGCACCTATAATTTAGAGAGTGCAGATTCATAGTTTTGGATAAAATTATCTCCCCAAACATAGTGACTTTTGGAAGCAAGCTGACAGAGACCACAATAATTAAAACACTTCACAATTTTAACACTTAAACAAGTGAAAAGTTGAGATTACTTTCCAAAGTTTCTCACTGGCACAGCCTAGCAAGGGTTGCCTTTCCTCTTTATAGAGACATGATGATAGTTGTGTCTGCATGACCAGTGGGTTAACTCCAAGGAAGAGGAGGCAGCTTACAAGCTGAAAAGAACATTCTCAAATGTCAAGACACCTCTCAAAGGCACTTGGTTTTCAAAGGGATTCTTTGTACTATGAAATTGTATCTTTTTCCTTTATTATTCTCCAACAACAATGTCATAGCCAAGAGATGTGGAGTCACACAGGTCTCACCCTGTGTAACTTCAGGGCTGCATGAGGAGTGGATCCGCATGTTATCAGCCAGCCAGGTGCTCAACATCTGTTTTTAAGCTCAAGGTTAGCAACAAAAATCACCCCAAGCCTCCTCTTGTGTAATGAGGAAAAATTCATTCCACAACCTGCCACAAAACCTTTGCACACTTAAGTCCTCTCAGTCCCAGAGGACATGTCTTTAAAAAAGAGAGAGAAACCTCTGCATAGTTCTGCCTGGCCATTACGCATAGGGCAGACTGTAACTTCAGCTTTGTCATTATCTCCCAGACAGCTACCCAAAAGGTAGCATTCCTTGGCAACAGCGAAGGAAATGATGGAGCTATTCATTGTCCATGAAACCACCTTATAGCAACAGCTCAGATAATAAGAATTGGAGAGCCCTAAAATTGAGTCACATCTTGGTCAATTCAATGATGTAATCTCTGTAAATCAGCTACTTCACCTCTTTGAAGCTTAGCTTTCCAACCCGTACTTTGATGACCATATATCCATGCACACATGTCCAAGGCTGATTAGAGAAATAAGATCCACAGCAGAGCCCAAATTCTGAATAGGAAACATAGAACCTGGTATGGCCATGCTAAAAGCAATGGCACTACCCCCTACAAGAGTTCTCAAGTATTTCAGAATAAATGTGAGTGTAGCATCCAAAAGCATGCTTCCCAGCAAAGGGCGGTGCAGGAATTCAGGAGGCTGCATGCCAATCCATAAATGATATTTCTCAAAACAGAAGAACTTGGGGCAGGGGAGATGGCTCAGCAGAATAAGCGCCTCTCTGGCAAGTGCAAGGGCCTGAGTTTAATCCCTGGTTCTGCCAGAAGAGGAGGAAGAGGAGGAGGAGGAGGAGGAGGGCAGGGGGAGGGGAAGGAGGA